TCCGGAATGTGCAGTTACGAAAAAGACGCAAAAGATTTTATGTTACGATATATTTAAGATATTAACTGTTAACAGTTTAAATAATAAATAATAAAATTATAAAAAAATGTTGTCAAATGATTCTTCAAATGTTTATACAAATATACCTTTTATATATATATATATATATATATATATATATATATATATATATATATATATATATATATATATATATATATATATATATATATATATATATATATATATATATATATATATATATGTATATATATATATATATATATATTTATATATATATATACATTAACGGGATTTTACTGTATATATATGTATATATATATATACATATATATATATATATATATATATATATATATATATATATATATATATATATATATATACATATATATATAAATATATACATATATATACAGTAAAATCCCGTTAAGTTGGACTCTCAATGAACAGATAAACAGTATGCCTTTCTTTTTAAAAAGTATAAAGAGGATGTGTGATAAACAATTAAATACTTTATTATAAAGAACGAGAGATCTCTCTAAAGGTAAATGATATCAGCAAAGAGTAAAAAGAGAAGAAATATATGTGAAACAGCGGGATGTGAACCTGGGTCTACGCGGCCAAATGTCTTAACTGAATGAGCTATACGTTCATTCAACTAAATGAATAGTAATATTTATTTAATATACAATTAAGAAACTATATAAAACAGAATTTACAGAAAGAGATACGAATGCAAATAGGATTCTATATATCAGGAAAATGAATAGTAATGTGAACCTTTAGATGCTTGTAATTAATATCTGGACTCAAAAACTAGTTACTTTTAATGGAACACATTAGGCTGTAGGAGTCTCAGGGAAATTATATTCAGAAATGGTTATATTAGACTCAGAGTTAGCTAAAAATTATTACAAAATATTTAGGACAGATGTCTAGTACAAAAAGCAAAAGATTTAAAGCAAAATGATTTATATTATTTGAAAAAGTTGTTTTACGTACATTTCATCATAATTTAAGTAGAACTTAGTAAAGCAAGGGAAACGTGTTGAATTAAGCACAATGAACTCAATCTTAAAAGAATAACTAACAGAAGAGAGGTTGTCACTATTGTGAAGGTGACGAAAGATCTGTAATATAGAACATGGAGGTCAAAAAATGCTATCTTAAGTAAAAAGAGTTTGATGAACAAAAGTTACAATGGCTGCGGGATGCGAACCGGGATCTCTGCGGCGAATTATCACGTATCTAACTGATTGAACTATACAATCTTATACTCAAATTTATATCTTATTAAAATTAAAAAACAATATTTTCTAAGATCTATACTTCGAAAAGCGTATTCAAACAGGACTCTACATACCTTTAAAATCTGCTAGAACTTTAGTAACGTGAACACTTTTAGAAATTATTGAAATAGGTATATTTTATCAGAAATATGCTTAAGCTAAAGCATATTTTTGAGCCTCTTTTTACTATTTGCTTAAGCATATTCGAACCTGTTTCAAAAATTTCATATGCTATTAAAAAAAAAACATGTATATTCCTACCCATCATTCTTATTTTTAATATACGCAATGAGTTCAAAAAACATCGTTGTATATATTTATTATGGCACGTTTCGTAAGTTGATTTCCGTTAAGAATTCTTTCGTATGTTGTGATCCGAAATACTTTCGTTTCGAAAGAAATTTTATTTTTTATTAATATTTCTAAAAATAAAACCATAAAAATTTAATAGTTATTATACTGAGTTATAAAAGTTCATTATAAACATTTTGGGATTTAAAGATGTTAATTTTTACAATTAAAATCAGTCTGGCAAACAAATTTTCTTTATAGACTTCAAAACGTCGTTTGGCGAAAATGTTTGTTTCGCAAGTGCGACTTCCGAAACCGCTACTTTCGTATGTTGCAAAATAGTTTTGTTTCGTATGTCAACTTGCGAAATGCTAAATTTCGGAAGTGGCTTTTGCGAAATGAACATCGGTGATTTTAAATGTTTTGTAACATTCGGTACGAAAAAATGTAATTCCGCGTTCTCAATCTCCTAACGAAAGAATGTTGTTTTTCCGGAATTGCACGAAATCCTCCGGTTAACAACCCTAGTTTATCTCAAACCATTTTAAAAACTGCTAATACTAGTTAATACTATTTAAACTGAGTACTTAATACTAAGAAGATAATCGTTTTATCAAGCATTACTATAAAAGTTACTACTATTAGGGGTCGTTCGTAAATTACGTCACACAATTTTTGAGTGTTTTTGACTACTCTCTCATCATAATGTTATCATTTGTTAACAACAAGTCCCGTACAAGTTGTCTTAAAACCAGTAAGTTTTTTCCCCATCCCCTCTAAAGCGTGACGTAATTTTTGGACAAGGTTTTTACTAAACATATATATAAGGGCAGTTGCGCGAGAGTAACAGCCGTAGTATTTGACGCTATTGAAGAAAATCGAGCAAGTGTGGTGGCCTGCTCGCAGTCCAGATTTGAATCCTGTTGAAAATATCTGGGGAATCATTGTAAGACGTATATATGCTGACCAGAAGCACTATAACTCTGTGGCAGAGCTAAAAGTAGCAGTATCAGAATGCTGGGAGGATATGGAGCCAAAAGTGCTGGAAAACATGTTGGAAGTATGCCAAAACGAATTTATCAAGTAATTGAGCGCAAAGGAAGTCCAATCGAGTACTAAAAATGTGATAAAAACATTTTTTTTTGATAGTTTAATTAAAAAATGTGAACTGCGTCTATAGAAAATAGTCAGCTATTTTTTGAATTTAATTTATTTATGATTGACCTCTTTTCAAATTTGATATTATTTTTTGATAATTGTCATTATTTTTTGATACTTTATTTATAATTTATTGAAATACACTATAAAAATAAAGTTAAGTACGTTTTTAAGACATAATAGAAATATAGAAAATGGTCGCAGTGTACATAAGAAAATGGTCGCAGTGTACAACACCAATAAAAATGTCAAACTTAAAAGTGTTTTTGTGAAACATAGTAAAAACAATTTGTTTGTGTGTGTGTATATATATATATTGAAAACTGAGGATATTATACATATATCCTCAGTTTTTTTAAGTGAAATGCAATAAGTCTAAAAACATTATTTTGAGATAATGAACAAATAACCTTTTGTATAATAGTTAAAATAATAAGTTTTTGTGTAATAGGTGAAACAAAAATTCTTAATAACTTATTAACTATTGATTTATTAAATTTGTATGGTGTTCCAAATGATTGCATTTCCCTAGTATACCGACGATTTGATTTAATTTTATAAAATAAGTAAAAATATGGATAAAGTTAAATCGAATCATCCTTCTAAAATAATTAAATATGCAATAACAAGAGGTCATACTCAAAAAATACAAAAACAATTCACACATTCTACCACAAGATTTAACTTCCTTACAAACAGAATAGTTAACGATTGTAATAATTTAACAGAGGAGATAATTAATTCTAAAAATGTGAAAATATTCAAAAACAAGTTTGATCGTTTTGAAAAAAACAAAATAAAAATATAAAACAATCAAAACAAATAATATATATATATAAAATATAAAAAGAAAAAAGAAAAAAAAAACACTTTTGCAACGGCTGTCAAAGTTTTAACATCTACAGATGTTACCCAGCCGGCACAACTCAGAAAATAGTTACGCTTGGTTTCTGTTGCGTTTTTAAAACCTTCTAAAACAAAAAGAATAACACGTATCCTAAATGGTTTTTATTCCGTGAAATTAACTATTACTATTTACCATAAATACCAGTTAAAGTATTAATGGTTTCACCGTTATGGAAACGTAGTATTATATTTTAATAACTTTCCGTAAGGAATGTGAAACCACTGATAAAAACATGCAACATTTAAATTTGACTTTAAAACCTCAAAAAACACGTGTTAAACTCTAGAAAAACTGCCCGTAATAAACACGTGCTTTTGGTTTACGCCTGGATCGTGAAAAACACGTGCCTATATAGGTTTTATTTCCGAAAAAAAAACTAGATGTGCCGATAGGGTTAGACTCACACATTGTATGTGTGCAGCAAAAATTTGTTATTATTATTTATTATAAGTAGTAATAATCTATGTGTGTGTGTGTGTGTGTGTGTGTGTGTGTGTGTGTGTGTGTGTATGTATGTAAAAAAAAGTATCCCCATATGTCCTAATCTATATTTCAGGATCTTATCTAATCTTTTTATATATTAGTTGTTGTTATTAAAAAAAAAAAAATTAAGCATTTTTATTTAGCACTATGTATTATATTTATATATCCATACATGTGTGTATGTATGTGTGTGTATGTGTATGTGTGTGTGTGTGTATTCATAGCTTGTTTAAGTTAAAAAAAGCTATGAACACCACGGCTGTTTCAGAGTAGACATACGGCTTCGTGTTATTTTTTTAAAAAGGAGGTTTTACTAAAACTTTCATAACTTTTGAAATATTAAAGATAAATACGTTCTGTAAAAAGAATATGAACACCGACTAAATGTTTTATATTTTATCATTCAATATAATAATCTAAGGCTGCTCTGATTTTTGAATAAACGCGCAAAATGACAAACTTGGCAGAATTTCAAAATATTAATGGTACTTTTTAGCAAAAATAATCAGGAAAATTATATTTCTGTTGACTAATATGTAATATAAACATAATTAGACCAATTATAAAACATATTAACATTGTTTACACCGAATGCAAACTGATACAGGCACTACAATAGGCGAAATAAAAAAAATCGCAAAATACTTTTTTTTTGAAAGATTTAAAACAAACAAAAAGAATTTCGGATTATTTTTGCTTTCGGTCGTAGAATAATTTCGTGAAACTTAGATCAATATTACAATATTAATACGTTTCAGTAGAAAAATAACACATTTTTTTATAAATATAGTTAACAATATGTGCAATTTAAAAAATTTGATAACTTGTTTTGATGGATTAAACTTAAATAATTTTTTTTTAGTTAATAAATTATATATGTTCTATAAGTAGCAAACGATCTTTGCATGCAATTGATACTAGTTTTATTTCCATTTAAGTTTGTTTTATTTATACTCGCTAAAAAAATTAAATTACATAGCGAATTGGAAAGTAACGCATTTAAAGTTACGTCATTGCTTTAAAATATAAACAAAAATTTTACGCATGTAAACTAAGCCACTGTCTAAACAAACTTTTTTTTCTAAAGCATGTTGGCTCACTTTGGGATTTATGTAAACCATAAGTATAAACATAATTGCGAAAAAATTATACAATTTGGAGCTATAATCATTTTGGGAAATCATTTTAAAGTTTTCTATTATTTGTATATTTTTTTCAAACATTTAAATTAATTAAATATTTCGCAAAATCATAAATATCTGCGACGGAAACTTGTTACAAGTTTTGCCTCGTTTTCACGATGTTTTATAAAAGCTTATTGGCTAATGCCACGTAGAAACGAGGTTTTGTAAAAAGTTTCCGTCGCAGATGTTCTTGAAAAGTTTTATAAAATATTAGTTCAAATCTAGAAAATCCGATTTCTAGTTTTAAACTCGATTGTTAACAAAAAGGTCTTCAAAATTGTTGGTGTTTAAAATTATACAGAAACTTGAACGCTTTTATAGACTTTACACTGAAAGTTAAACCAAGTTTGATGTTGAAATAACGTTTTTGAATGTCTTTTCATAAAATAGTATATTGAACTCAAATTTATGTGTGCTAATCATCGAGAGTCATAGAAAAATTCATATATTATATTTATTTATTGTATTCAATATATATATTATATTTGCATTATACAAGATTGTTAAATTACTCTGACAAAAGTATAAAATATTCAGACTTTTTCACATTTCGCTTGTTTTCGGCTCTACTTTGGTTTTTAGCCAAAATGAAGTTATGTCTCTTCACCCGTCCATAAACCTTTTTAGAAGCTTCAGATGTAAGTTTTACAGCTCTTTCCACCGACTGAGAATTGTTTGGGAAGTCAGGTATAGAAAGTTTATTTCCGGTTTGAATAGCTTGTTTTAATTCATTTGAAGAAACAAAAATTGTAGTGGGAGGTTCAATTTATATTGAAGAAACTTCAATTAAGTCGGTCCAAACATCAGCATTGAAGTTCAAGGTCATAATTGTCTTAGCTTAGATTTTAGGCTTAAAGTCTGGATTAGTTTCCCTAGATAACCTAATCTCCAAGATTTTATTGAGAGCACGATCTCGTACAACTTTTTCATCCTTTAATAGCATAGCATAAAGAAAGTTTTCTTGACAGCAGCAATAGGAGTTACCCTGAAGATTTTTCAACACAATCTTTTTAATTCTTTCATCCTGTTTTTTGACTAACTGTATTGTTTTATGGAGAAGCCTTGGTGCATCTTTGTAATGCGCTGAACTTTTTACAGCAAACCACATTGGACAGTAGACTTGGACTATGTACTTTGTGATGCAGTTTAGATCATGTGTAGGTATCTCAGTTCTTGCATAAACCATCATAATTCTTAAAGCAAGGGTTAACCAACGTGCATGATAGACAGGACCAGGTTTCTTATTAGCATGCTTCACAGAAATTGAACCTTTAGCTATTCCAATGCAATACTCATAAAGTTTACGCTGGTCTGTACTCAGATCGCAAACAATGGCGGAATCTATAGGAATAAACTGAACCAAAGGTTGTTCATGCATGAATATATTAGACGCTTGTATACCAATAGGACCTTTGTATTTTTTTGGATCATTAGTTTGTCCATCTATTTCAGATATAACATGACGAAGAGGTAACTCACCCTGGTGAAGCAAACATCCAACTAAATGAATGCTACGATTCAAAAGCTTTTCTAATTTTACAACTAAACCATTATTTACGCCAGTGTTAGAGCTTGTATTGTCAAGAACAATCGCTTCTAAACTTTTAACACTGTTGTATTCAGAAAGCACATTTAATGTTGCTAAAGCCATAGTACCACCTTTACCATTTTCTATAATCACATGTGTGAGATAATTTCCAGAGAATGGATAATTTTCACAAGTAAAAGTGAGATGATGTTCATCATTGGTGGTTCGATAAAAAAAAGGGTCCCCATTGCTTTGGTATTTCATGACATGAACTAATGAATTTTTGTCTTTCTTGCTATCAACACCAATTACCTTTATTTCTAAAACTTTTTGACGATGCGTAGTGTCAATTGATTTAGCCACTCGTTCTTTTTCACAAAATACCTTATATTCTGTCACTATCTGAGATTTTTTACTCTTACTTACTATTCCGTAGTCAATTAATACAGCTGTTGCTATTGCAGCTGCTGCAGCATCGCTTACTTTGTATCTTATTGCAGCTTTGGCCAAATTAGTTAATTCGGTATAATTTCTTTCACAAAGTATTTGCTCCTCAAACTCTTCACTTTCAGTTGTATCTAAACTTGAAGATTCAGCACTAAAACTACCATTTGAATCAACTTCTAATGTTTCTTGAAGATTTTTTTGTCTAATTAGCTTTTTAGTTGCCTCGTTTTCCTCTCTAATAAACTTTTTGGCGTTCCTTGTTGTCTCCACATGGTCCACATTGCCTAACTGCCAACTTCCTTTTGGTCCTATCTTGCATCTTTGGTCCTTTAAATATTCTCTTTCCAGAACAGGGACCTAAAATAAGTCAAATATTCTAAAATTGAACGTATTTAAATTTAAAGTAAATAGAAAGAATTAACGGTCAAATGATTAGTAATCAATAATAATTTTAACATTCGTAAAAGAGCAGCGATTTTTAAAATGACTTTAGACTATTTTATTTTCCCCAACCTTACATTATTATGAATTTTAACTGTAAATGCCTAATAATATCAACACAAAAATGGCATGAATTACCTTTCTACTTTCCTCACAGAGACAAACTATGTGTTTCATTGTGCAATTACTTTTCCGACATCCTATTCGTCTAAACGTATATTATTCTACTTTAAAATCAAAACAATATAGAAACTATTTATTGGATAGGCTTACATCCATTAGTTTACGGTTGTATGCCTTACTTTAATACCTTAGTAGAAGGCAGAGGGATGGGGTTGTAAATTTTCATTTACCTTTACAAAATCTTTTTCACTTAACATTAAAAAAAAGTTGTAATAAAAAACGTTAAAAAATGTATGTTTACCTATCATGACAATCATCAATAATTGGAAGATCGCACCGGCAAGCAGACACATCTAACAATGTTTCCAGTTTCTTTTCTAGCCAGCTTATAGTGGACTTATGGTTTTTAGATTGAGTTCGTTCTGCAGACAACACCTTTAGAAATGTTCTTGATATTTTATTTTTCAATGGTTTATCTTTTATCAGAGGTAGATTTGGATTAACCCTACACCAAAGCTGTTGCAAGTCACTATTGACTTTAGTTACGATTGATACAGAGTCAAGTTTCTGTCCATTAAACAATTCTTTCTCAACCTTGTAACCGTATTGAATGACCTGTTTATAAGTTGGTAGATCGCTTACGGGTAAATCAGAGGCTTTTCCAGCAAATCTTCCACTATTAATACGAGTTTTGTTTAAAACTTTCACAGGTCGTCCAAGTTTTTTTGAGCTCATGCTAATATGACAATATGAATTTATTATATAACTAAAAAATAAAAGAACATACTATTTTTCGATTTAAGTTTCTAAATGAAATATGTTTTAAACTATTTGTTAAAAAACAATTAGCTTACGTTTTAGTTTGGTAAACAGATTTTATTTCGAACGCAAATCTTCGTAGTTTGCTGTATACGTTTTATACGTTTAAAAAAAACAACCGCATAAAAGTAGAGTTATATTTACGGACCTTAAGTGACTTCATGTAGAATTTGAAAGTTTTTCTATTGCATTTCCCAAAAAGATTAAATATTTTTTGACTTTTTTTTTTGTGGCAAACGAATAATATATCCACAATACATAAATCTCACACTGAGCCAAGTGTTTTCATATACATGACAGTGGCTTAATGTAAACTACAAATTTTGTTGCTAAAAGAAATAAACTTTGCCAAGGTTGACAACGTTTTAGTTAGAAGTACAGAAAGTAATTTTTTTGATTTTCATGTGCATTAAGGGTTGCAATTTCAATAATTTGGTGAACTTAACAAAAATATAACATTTTTCATATAAAACAAGTAATAACAAAAATATAAAAGCTAAAAAATCCAACTTAAATTTTTTTTTATCCATGTTCACCAAAAATCTGATAAAATAGACATTCTTTTATAAGTATGTAAAATTTCAACCATAAAGCATGTAGTTTAAAATATCTAATCTTGATTGGCCCAAGACAGGTTTTCCTTAAAATACGCAAAAAACAGAAAAGTGATTCCAAATCATTAGCAATATTTTTACAACTTTTATTTTTATTTCGTTAAATAAGAATATTTATTTAACAAGGAAAGATAGATGTTTCATTTTTTTTATTAGACAAAAGCCTTTAAAGTAATGATTTTTTATAGAAAAAAAACCATTACTTTAAAGTTATTGAATTTTTATATTTTATATGCCGAAATTTTTAAAAAACTTTTTATGCGGAAATTGTTTTTGCTAAATTCTTGACGTAATGCCCAATTTTACATAGCGTGAAACAGCCGTGACACAGACACACACACACACACACACACACACACACACACACTATTTATATTGTGTATTATATTTATACACACACACACACACACTATTTTACTGGATGATAAGATCATGTCTTCTGCCAGCTCCGGTCGAAACTTTAATGTTATAATTTTTTTGTTGTAAAAAAACATTGTAAAAGATTATTCATTTAATGACGAAATAAATAAATAAATAAATTTAGTTAGTAATTAAGTATAAAACATCAAAAACCAACAAAGTAATTATCTCTTGTGAGTATAATATGTTTTATATATTAAGTTATTATTATTGTTAACAATAATAATAACTTAATATATAAAACATATTATACTCACATTTTTTGCTGGCCTTAAGGCATGTGCTTTATTTGCCTAAGGGTTAATCCGGTACTGTTAAGAATAACTATTTATTTAATTAGTTTTTTATTTATTTATTAAGTTATTTATATATATTTATATTTATTTATTAATATATAATATATATATTTTATTTATTTATTAAGTTATTTTTAATATATCATTGGTTACAACAGAGGTAGCCAGCATATTATTTCACTTCTAAAAAGTCTATTTATCGTATAAAATTTATATAAATAAAAAACGGGCTACCTCTGTAGTAACGTGGTCTAATCAATCAATTTTTAGAGACACACAAAAACAATGATCCTAACTTTTTTTTTCTTGTCTTGGTTTTTAATTTACAAAATGTATCATTTATTTAATAATATGCAAAAAATTGAGGAAATTCGGAAATTATCGTATCTAATTTAATGATTTAGTAAAAATCCGGGTTTTTTTACCCCTGAAAATCCCGCACTTAAAAAGATAAACTAAAAAAAAATTGAAATTAATATTTTTTTTTTTTACTAATCCTAACTTGTTTCAGTTAAAAAATGTTTAAAATATTAAAATTGATTTTTTTTTTCTTCAGAAAAGTAAAATCCTATTTCCGCTTCGCGACGTCGAGTGCATCGTTACGACCTTTGATAATGGTTTTTTTCCCCCTTAATCAAACACTACATGAAGCATAATTTGTCTTATCACCAAGCCCCTTAATCTATACCGTAATTATAAAATAGCGTAAATAAATTAAAAAAAACGTAACACAATATAATATAAAACACTTTCTTAAGATTTTATAAACAAATATAATAGTTCCTTATTTTCTTTAACTTTAACTTTTTAGTTTTGTATTGGTTATGAAAAATTTAAATACAAATTTAAAGAAAAAAAAAATGTTTAGCATAATAAAAACTCTATTATTAAAAAGCATGCAGGCAAATACGCATAATCCTGAAGCTTTCCTTTTACACCAGCAGATACCTTAAATTATCTTAAGAATTTTTATAAATCATAAGTTTTTTAAAAGAAGAAATGAATCAGTAACAAGTGACACGATCCTTTCTAAGATCGTCAAGCTGATAATGACAAACCTCTAATTACTTATTAGTAGCAACCATTAATACTCCAGAAAAAGCTGAGCGTTCGTCAATAGTTTTTGCTTCAATTTGTTTTTAAACTCATTAAGCGTTGCAATTGATTTAAGTTCATTTGTTAATATTTTATTCCATAATTTTGGTCCTCTTGTAGAAATTGAAAATTCAGTCTCCGCAAAATACCTTTTGGGTTAAATGTAACTGTTATTTGAAAATCTGGTTAGATATCTGTTCTGATTTATTTTGAATAGAGGGTAGAATATTTTCGGAAATATATTCTTATTAATTTTGAACATAAATATAAGAAGATGATAGATATTTATTTGGTAGACATTCATTATATTTAAATTAACAAACAATTCTTGGGAATGTGTAAAACGGCCCACACTGGAAATGATTCTGATTGCATGTTTTTGTTTGTTAAATAGTTTTTTTATTTTATTTTTATTTGTACTGGACCAAGCAATTTTTGCGTAATTAAGATGGCAATGAATGAATGAGAAATATAAAAGCTTTAACCAAGTTGGATTTAAAAAAGGCTTTGCTCTAAGTAGGCCAATGTTCCTTGAGACTTTATTTTCAAGATAATGTATGTGATCTTTCCACGTCACATTTTCATCAAGAAGTACGCCAAGAAATTTTAATGTGGTTTCTCTTTTTATGTCCTGATTAGCAATACAAAGTTTTGGAAGTTTTAAAGGAATTTTATCTCGATCGTGAAAAGGATGGAAAAAAAGTATATTTTGTTTTGGTTACATTTAGAGATAATTTGTTTGCATTAAACCATTCAGTAAGATTTAATAGCTCTTTGTTTACTGACTTAAACAGAATATTTATATCGTTATGTGCGTAAAATAAATTTGTGTCATCTGCAAATAAAATTGTATCTATTTCAGTACAAGTATTGCTTATATCATTAATATAAATGAGAAATAGGAGTGGTCCCAATATAGATCCCTGAGGAACCCCACATGCTATGTTCATATTGGTCGTTTTACCTTCATTATAAGAAATGTATTGTTTTCTATTTGACAACCCAGCAAACATGTAAGAGTTGAATCAACGTTGAAAACCAGTCGCAGCCTAGAAAAAACGTTACAGTCACAAAAACAACGTGCTTTCAACGTTGAATCAATGTCTATTTTTGTATACTAAATCGCGGTAAATTGAAACGTTGAATAAGCGTTAAAATTGTAACGTAAATTAGCCTCTCTAAATAAAACGTTTATTCAACGTGAAATCAACTTACGCAAAAAGCCACTTTAAAAACGTTTCGAAGTATATTCTTATCAACGTTAAAAACAAACCGCTTTTTAAACGTTACATTTTCAACGTTGAATAAGCGTATAAATTTAAACGTATCTTATCTTCTCAAAAAAATGCGTTTATTAAACGTTGAAAATGAGTACGCAAATAATCACTGTAAAAACGTCGCAAAGGTAATCAACCTTAGACATTAGCGGCTTTTTCAACGAATTTAAACTATTTGAAAAACAACACTTATTCAACGTTATTTCAACGTTGGTTGAAAATGTGGTAATTAAAAAACGTTGAAAAAGTGTTACTTTGCCAACGTTAACAAAACGTTGTTTTAACGTTAATAAAACGTTGTTCACATTAAAAATTATTGTTTCAATAACTAGCCATTACAAAAATAATTTGCCGTAATAGAAAGGCAAGGAAAACTTAATAGAATGCATGTATACGGTATAAAATTTTTTTTAATAAAGTTATTTTTTATAGCCTATTTTATTGCGACTAATTTAAAACTTTTAGATTTTATATCAAAATGTATATAAAGTACATAAATCTCAGGGTAAATTCGATTTATTCAGCTTATTTTTGACAATGTTTTATTTTGTTTTAAGTTGACGATTTTAATAAAATGCTCAACTTTTTTAAATATTTGTTTCTTAGTTAGAAATAGTACTTACTTTTAATACGATTCACATTTATAAAATATTATCTAAATTAATCAAACATAGTAAGTCAGACTAAATTAAGTTTGTTAACAGAATGAATTTTTATTATTTTAAAATTATCACTTATACATACATACACTAGTCGACTATCTTACAGACAACTTATGAGTCTTATAGGATCGCATATAATCTTATACTATCCTACAGGATATCTT